GTCCTTAAATTATTCATCACTATTTGATTCAATTATCATCAATATATCTTGGTAAATAATAGATTTCTCAAAGGACAATTGATTTGATAGTGTTACGTTGAAAATGTGGTCGCCGAAATATGTGTTTGGTAGTGTATGTCTTATATTTAAGAAAAAACTGACAAATAACCGAAAAAATCGAAAAACCGACTTCATTGGTTTGGTTTGGTTCTAATATTTGAAAAACCGACTAACTTGGTTTGATTTCTTTTTAGGGAAAAACCGATCCAAACCGAACCATGTACCCCCTAGCCACCCCTACAATTCCTGAATGTAACGAAAAAAAGGAGAAAAAAGTGAATTCCAATTAGACTTGTTCTTAAAAAAAGGAAGGCAAATACATAAGTTACCCCCTAAACTATGGACCAAATCCCTGTTACACACTTTCTGACCACGAAAATCATCTTACACATTCAACCTTTTCTGAGTGTGTCTAATACACACTTTTTTTTCTTGACCAATTTTTCAAAATATGTGTAAAGTCACGCACTAATAAGATTGTGACACGTGTTATTATTCTTTTAAAAATTAAAATATGTAAAAATACAATTATACCATTTACCATCTTCCCCCTTGCATCTCTTTCTCTTCGCCGGCGATAACAACCAGACCTCTGCCATCTAATTCAAGCAAAAACTAGAAGCCCCAATCAAATGCTCTAGCTTCTAATTTCTAAATATTTTCGAGATACAAAATTCGAGTACCAAATATTGGAATCTTTTGCAAAAAATTTATTAAGATTTGATCCAAACGCCAAAAACAAATAGTTGTACTAGAATATTGGTTCTTCTTAAGCAAACCTACAACCCTCTCCAATGGTATATAATGGTAAGTGGGTTCCTTCATGGTTGCTCCCAACATGTGTAAGGGGAAAAAGGAAGAGAAGAGAAAAAGGTGCTTCAATAGTGAAGGTATGGTGATTTTTCGACAGGTGAGTATTGATTGATTTTAGGATGATGGAAAAGTTGTGGAGCATCAATGGTGGACGATGGAGAGGTCTGGATGGGCTCTCGACGGGCAGGTGGTGGATTAGTTTAGAAAAATAAAAAAGAAAGAAACTAAAAAAAAGGAAAGAAAGAAAGAAATTTTATTGTAATCGTTGGATAAATTTCACTAAATCTGAACCGTTTAAATAAAATATCAAACATATAATTTTTTAATGTTCAGATGCCTCATTTTGTTTGTAAACACGCACTAGCCACGTAGGCAAAGAGGTGTATATTAGTCACACTCTGAAAAGATTGAATGTGTAAGATGATTTTCGTGGTCAGAAAGTATATAATAGGGATTTGAGCCAAAGTTTAGGGGGTAACTTATGTATTTTGTCAAAAAGGAATAATGTTAAATGGATCATATACGTAACCAAAAAAAAAATCTCTCCGTAGCTGAATAGGAAGAAGGAGTGGGACCCAACAAATAAACGGCTCTGATTGGCTGAAATACGGCGGGCTCCACGTCAGGCGGCGTAGGGGGTAAATTAAAAGGAAATCTATATATAATGGACTTTAAAAGCCTCAAAAGTCCAAACCCAGTCTTCCTTGGCCTAAAACCTCATATCGGCCGCAGTCCATTAGGGTTTTGAGCTCTGAACCTCAAAGTTCAAGCATAAGCCCATCTTCTTCTCCTTCTCCCTCCAGAATTTTTTCTTGAATTACGATTAAAAAATAATCATAAACGATAAAGTATAAACCCTAAACCCTGCTTTAGATACAGAGGTTTTTGTTTCACCATTGGTTTGCGACGTCAGTTGTTCTAAAAAGTAAGTACCTTTTTTGCGCGGAATTAATTGCTTTTGTTCATGTGTCTGTTGTTTCATGGATTCTTATGTAAATAGCATTCAAGCTTTTCCTGCATTTATTCATTCATTCAAATTGATTTTTCCTTACATTCGGATCGTTTTGAAATTCACCTTTTGTATTTATTCTTAGATTGCCTGTTAACTTTTTTGAGATATTTTTGATTATGGGAAGCGTGTTTCTGTGCTGCTTAACAATCATTATGTGAATTAGGGAATGGATACTCTCCTAGTCATGTCTTGCTTTAGTCTGTAGGGAAGTATCCCATTGGTGTTCAACGTTAGTTGTCTGTAAAGAAGCATTGAGTTTGAAAGAGTTGTGAAAAGAAAATTTAGAAGTGTATATATCATCGAGTTGACTAGAAAGAATCATCTTTGTTCTAGGTTTTTCTGATGGTGTTTTGCATGTGATTGACAGTTCTTGATGGGAATTAGGAAAATCTGTCGTCAGAAGAAGGTTCCTTCACGGCAATTCAAATAATGCCTTCGAGGCAATACAGATGACACCCTCAAAGCTTTACAAATAACGCCTTTGAGGCAATAAAGCTAACAGCTTAAAGGCAATACAGATAAATCCTTCGAGGCCATGCAAATAATGCCTCTGAGGCGATGCAAATAGTGTATCATACAAACGATGCCTTCGAGGCTAGTGGCTACTCAAATAACGCCTTCGAGACTACACAAATAACTCCTTCAGGGCCATTAATTTATTATGTTAATGATGTTGACAAATCATTGTTGGACAATTTCAAGGGCATCACCTTTCATTAATTTTCAGTGACGTTCCATGGTTTATGCTTGAAAAATACTCGTCTAAGCCCTTAAGCTATATTGCATTACTGCTGCATAGGTTCATTTATTTGTCCAATTCAAATGCCTTCATTCTTTATGCCTGAGAACGACTAATATTGCAGTATTGCTTCATATGTTTACTTACTTTAAAACATTTGTATGCCAGAATTAGGTTATGAACTTTCTGCCTTATTTTGATATTTATGTGGTAGAGTAAATGTCATCGATAAAGTAACATGTTTTTCTATTTATATATAAACTAATGGTATAGCTCAATGAAGAATTGCAGCTAGTTGGTATTTTTGACAATACATGCATGCAGTTAGTTGATGAAATTATTTTAATTGGCGAAAAAAGTATCTTCATTGATCTTTTGTTTGCTTTGCTGGCAGGGTGCTCACTATGGACGCCCTAACTAGTCATAATGAGATAGCTGATTCAGAGGCACAACCGAATAAGCGCAGGCGGAAGAAGTCCATAGTTTGGGAACATTTCACAATTGAAACAATTGATGCGGACTGTACCAGGGCTTGTTGTAAGCAGTGCAAAAAGTCCTTTGCGTATATTAGTGGCTCAAAGTTAGCAGGCACCAGCCATCTCAAACGGCATATTGCCTTGGGTATTTGCCCGGTGAATCGAAGCAACCAGGAGAAGAATCAAACCCCATATAACCCCGCTGTGCAAACTAATGGTTCTGCAAGTGCTACTCTTAAATCAAGAAAGCGCTACAGAGCTACTCCAGGACCAACAAGTATCCCATTTGATCAGACCCGTTGCTGCTATGAGATTGCAAAAATGATAATTCAGCATGACTACCCACTTGAGATGGTGGAACACTCAGGATTTAATAAGTTTGTTCGAAGTCTTCAGCCATTATTTAGTTCAGTGAGTGTCAATACCATCCAAGACCACATTTTTAACATTTACCTGAGAGAAAAGCAAAGCCTTTTGAACATTATTAGTGCAATTCCTGGACATGTTAGCCTGACACTGGATTTAAGAACTTCAGATCAGAGTTTAGGCTATGTCTTCTTAACAGGATACTTTGTTGACTGTGATTGGAAATTGCAGCGGCGACTTCTCAATGTTATCATGGTACCTTTTCCTGATTCAGAAGTTGCCTTCAATCATGCTGTTGCCGCATGTTTGACAGATTGGTGTTTAGAGTCTAAGCTATTCACTCTCACACTGGATCGATCCTTCGCAAATGACAATGTTAGAAAAAACCTGGGACATCTACTGTCGATCAAGGGAGGAAATATTCTCAATGGTCAGCTAATAATTGGTAGTTGTTGTGCTCATGTTCTGAGCCATCTTGCACAGGATGCGTTAGATTCCATGAGAGCAATTGTTGAGAAGGTCCGCCAAAGTGTTAAGTTTGTTAAAACCGCAGATGCCCACGAAGAAAAGTTTCTTGAGCTGAAGAGACAACTTCAAGTTCCCAGTGCAAAGGAACTTATTGTTGATGACCAAACAAAATGGGATACCACATATCAAATGCTGATGAACGCTTCTGAGCTGAAACAAGTATTTTCTTGCTTGGATACTTCTGATCCTGATTATAAGGTGACTCCTACAATGGCTGAGTGGAAGCAGGTTGAAATTCTCTGTGCATACCTGAAGCTTTTCTTTGATGCAGCCAACATTTTAACTTCCTCGACATATGCAACGGCTGATGTGTTATTTCATGAAGTGTGGAAAATTCAGCTCGACCTGATGCAGGCAGCCCATAGCCAGGATCATTTCGTAAGCAATTTGACTAAACCATTGCAGGAGAAGTTTGACAAATACTGGACTGATTGCAACCTGGTTTTAGCAGTTGCTGTTGTTATGGATCCTAGATTCAAAATGAAGATAGTCGAGTTCACCTTTAACAAGATCTATGGTGAAGAAGCTGAAACTTGGATCAAGATTGTTGATGAGGGAGTGCATGAACTGTTTTGTGATTACATCGTGCAATCACTTCCTCCGCCTCCGCCTAATTTTGTGGATGAAGCAAATGAGAATATTATAAAATCAGAATTCTGTCAGGAAGATAATTTCCTTCCTAATGGTGATACATTTGCAGATTTTGATGTCTATCTCCATGACATTATGAACAATCAGCAGATGAAAACAGAGTTAGATCAGTATCTTGAAGAATCTCTCATGCCCCGTTCACAAGATTTTGATGTTTTGGGTTGGTGGAGAATAAACAGATCCAAGTACCCCACTCTCTCCAAAATGGCATCTGATATTTTATCCATCCCCGTCTGCACAGTAACTCTAGATTCTGTGTTCGACACTACACCGCGAAATTTGGACAGCCACCGTAGTTCTTTGAGACCCATAACTCTTGAGGCTCTCAGTTGTGCAAAGGATTGGCTCCAATATGAATCTTGGGAGCTCCCATCCGGAGTCCCAGCATCAATGGTTAAAATGGAGTATTAGCTTTGTTAGTAAAGATTTTTTTCTTTTAGTTTCTTTTTTGTTTTCTTTTGCTTCGCCTTTATATTAACATTTTTGTGCACACAAGCTTATAGGTCAATGAAATTCATATTCTTTCACCAACTTTACCAAAATAAGATTCACTCTTTCATCTTTCTGGAAAAAAGTAGGAATATATAAGGAAGCTAGTGATTGGGAAAAAATCTGCTGTTTAGATTGTGCAGAAGATTGAAGGCTCTAAGGCTATCAATACCATTGTATCATCTGATAAAATCAAATAAATTAGTTTCAACACTTAAGATTGAATGCATCAAGTGATTACACATTAGATGTGTTAGTGAAATTTGAATGCTGCATCCATAATATATGATTATTTAATAATAAGGAAGGGCTAGATGAGAGAGAAAAAAGCAAGGAAACGAGGAGTAACGATAAAGTGGCACACCAAATCCGTCGTTACCTCACGATGCTCTTGTGCAGAAGGCCACTACTGCTTATTTCACTGACTTCAATCTATATGCGAGAGCTCAAAAATGTGGATGAAACCTTAGATTAGCATCACATGGTAGTCTCAAGCTCTCTCAGGAGACTGTCAAACTTGTCATATAATTTAAATTCGTCTTTCCACGAAAAAAGTGTGTTCTTCATAGCTTCACTATGCCCAAACCAAGTTTCCCAACTTGCTCATCTTCACTTTTCTCCAAAAGTCTATTTATCACCACACGCGATCATAGAAAGCTGCAAATCTATGGACCAACTTAGGCAGATTCACTCAGTAATGATCCAAAATGGCCTTGCTTCTGATCCCACACTCTGCTCCAAGATCATAGCTTTTAGTTCAACTTGTGAATCAGGTGATATGAAATATGCTCGTTCTGTGTTTGACATAATGCTAGAACCAGGAGTCTTCGTTTGGAATACAATGATCAAGGGCTATTCAAGAGAAAATAGTCCAAATAATGCAGTGTCCATTTACAGAGAGATGTTAAATGACAATGTTCAACCGGACAATTATACGTTCCCCTTCTTGCTTAAGGGTTTTACTCCTGAAATATCGTTAAACATAGGGAAAAGTATGCATGCTCATATATGTAAATTCGGGTTTGAGTTAAATGAGTTTGTTCAGCATTCGTTGATTCATATGTACTGTTTAAGTGGGCAAGTTGATATGGCTCGTGGCGTATTTGATTTGAGTTCTAAAAGTGATATACTAATTTGGAATGCTATGATTTCCGGGTACAACAGGTCCAGACAATTCGGAGAGTCAAGGAAACTCTTTTATGCAATGGAGGAGAAGCGATTGCAGCCCACTTTTGTGACTCTTGTCTCAGTAATATCAGCTCTCTCACAGCTTAAGGATTTAGATACTGGCAACCGAGTTCATCAATATGTTAAGGACTGTAAGGTAGAGTCTAATTTGGTTTTGAACAATGCTTTAATTGACCTGTATGCGGGTTCTGGAAAGATGGATGTTGCACTTGGCCTATTTCAGAGCATGAAGCATAGAGATGTGATATCGTGGACCACAATTGTCAAAGGTTTCGTGAACATTGGACAAGTTGATGTAGCTAGGAAATATTTTGATCAGATGCCAGAGAGGGATTCCATATCTTGGACAGCCATGATTGATGGATATGTCAAAGAAAACCGATCTAAAGATGTCTTAATGCTCTTCCGTGAAATGCAAGCAGCAAAGATACGACCAGATGAGTTCACTATGGTTAGCATCCTTACCACATGTGCACATCTTGGGGCTCTTGAACTTGGAGAGTGGATCAAGGCTTACATTGACAAGCACAAGATTAAGGTTGATAGACATTTGGGGAACGCTGTCATAGACATGTACTTGAAGTGTGGAAATGTGGAAAAGGCACTGATGGTGTTTTCTGAAATGCCTTGCAAGGACAAATTCACATGGACGGCCATGATTGTCGGTCTTGCAACTAATGGGAATGGGAGAGAAGCTCTAGATATGTTTTTTGATATGTTGAGAGCTTCAGAAACACCTGATGAGGTGACTTACATTGGCGTGCTTAGTGCTTGTACTCATATGGGTATGGTAGAGGAAGGAAAAAGGTTTTTTATTAGCATGACCTCTCAGCACGGCATTCAACCTAATGTTACACATTATGGCTGTATGGTTGATCTTCTTGGTCGAGCAGGGCGCTTGGGGGAAGCTTATGAGGTTATAAAGAATATGCCAATGAAACCAAATTCAATTGTTTGGGGAGCTCTTCTTGGTGCTTGCAGAGTTCACAAGGATGTTCAAATGGCTGGAATTGCAGCTCAACAACTTCTTCAGCTAGAGCCTGGTAGTGGGGCTGTTTATGTTCTCTTGTGTAATATATATGCAGCTTGTAAAAAATGGGAAAACTTGCGCGAGATAAGAAGAATAATGACGCATCAGGGAATCAAGAAGACGCCAGGTTGTAGTCTGATAGAGATGCATGGGATTGTTCATGAATTTGTTGCAGGGGATCGGTCTCATCCTCAATCTAAAAGCATCTATTTAAAGTTGGCTGAGTTGATTGAAGAACTGAAATTAGCAGGCTATGTTCCTGATACTTCAGAGGTTTCTCTTGACACAGGAGAAGAGGAGAAAGAGAACTCCCTTACTCGGCTAAGTTAGAAGTTGGCGATTGCATTCGTTCTAATTAATTCTGAACCTAAATCCACTATTAGGATAGTTAAAAACCTTAGAATCTGTGCAGATTGCCACCATGTAACAAAGTTAATATCAAATCTTTACAATAGTAAACAAGTTGTTAGAGACAGAACCCGGTTTCACCATTTGTACAAGGTTCATGTTCTTGTAAAGATTGCCTTCTCCATAGGGAAAATACGTTCTCCGCTTGGACTAGGAAATAAAATACTTTTGTTGTACTATCTGTTGCTTTTACAAAATTTAGAAACTTTTAGTACGCAACTAATTCTCTTACAGCAATCCAAAAACAACTCTGTCATAATTAAAATTCAAACACTCACAAAAAAAAAACAAAACGTTTTCTTGATCAAGTAATTAGTCTGAATTATGGACACTAAAGCCAGGCTTAGAAGGCTTCATGAGTTTTATATACCCTCTAGAACTCAGAGTTTTGAAGCTTATGAACTCCACACATAGCATTAGCAAAATTTCAGAGGCTAACGCGGTCGCTCCGGAGCTTTATGCAACATTGGTGTCAACTCCGAATCTCCATCATCGTTCTCATTATAGTCGTCGTCTTCCAATTCTTCATTGTGACGAAGTTCTGCAATTTTTCTACGCATATGCCGACGCCATGCAGCTTGTATAAAGCTGGCAGCCCACGTTCTCCATTGCTGCGAGTAAAATCTGAAAGTGTGCTGTACCTGTCGACTCTGCAGCCGCNTTGCATTGCATAAGGCTAGCATTCTTCCTTTCGAGGTTAAGCTCTACCTCCATCTGCATCCTCTATATTGCATAAGGATATAATTCTACCTTCCGAGACTAAGCTTTGTCTCCATCTACATTCTCTACATTGCATAAGGCTACCATTCTTCCTTCCGATACTAAGCTCTGTCTCTATCTGCATCCTCTGCATTGCATAAGGCTACCATTCGGCCTTCCGAGGTTAAGCTCTACCTCTATCTGCAATCTCTGCATTGCATAAGGCTACCATTCTGCCTTTCGAGGTTAAGCTCTACCTCCATCTTGCATGGCTGAAAGATCGCCACTTCATTTACATCTTGCATGGCTGAAAGATCGCCACTTCATTTACATCTTGCATTGGCTGAAAGATCGCCACTTTATTTACATTTTTGCATTGGCTGAAAGATCGCCACTTTGTTTACATCTTGCATGGCTGAAAGATCGCCACTTCATTTACATCTTGCATCAGCTGAAAGATCGCCACTTTATTTACATTTTCCATTGTCTGAAAGATCGCCACTTCATTTACATCTTGCATGACTGAAAGATCGCCACTTCATTTACATTTTGCATTGGCTGAAAGAT